TTATTACCCTGGTTTCTGTGTGATGATTTTGTTGTTGCTACTGTATACAGTTTTTGATGGTGCTCAGAGTTCCCTTAGTTATTGGGTTGTGGAAGAGTTCCCTGATAATTTTGGGTCACTTTTAATTAATGCTTATTGCATAGTTAAAGGATGCAATTCTAATTAGTCACAGCAAATATTATTACAGTTAACAGAAATGAACTTTCTTCACGCATTTATCAGCTTAGTTGGTGTCCCTGTGGCTTAACACTCTTCCAGCTAGAAATCTACGAGGTCACCATATTCTTTATCTCCAGTTTTCAGTTCCCATAGTGGGACTTATACATTACTGTATATTACTGTATATGCTGTAGTCTTTTTCCTGCATTCCAGGCTTTGAGGTCCTTTTTGGATTAGGATGTATTCACTATACAATGGTGATTATTGAAAGTTTTATTCATTTACTTCATGTGTATGGCTGTTTTGTCTGTATGTACATCTGTGCACCATGTTCATGTCTACTTGCCCAGTCAGGCCTAAAAGTGTTAGATCCTCTCAGACTGGAGTTAAAAATGCCATATATTTGCTGAGAATCAAACCTGAGTGTGCTGAAAAGATAACAGATGCCCTTAATTGCTGAATCACCTTTTGAGTTCTACAGACTAAGTCTCATACATGTATATAATGTGTTTTGGACTATATTTATTCCCCTTATTACTCACAGATATCACCCCTCCCCCATTGGGTCCTGCTTTTTTTTCTCTTATTTCCCCTTATACATTCAGATTTTCTTTAAGAGTCCACATATGAAAGAAAATAAATGGCATCACCCTCATGTGTCTAGCTTTTTGCTTACATGACAATCTCTAGTTTCATCCATTTTCCTGCATATAATGTAATTCAATTCTCCTTAATAGCTCAATAGTTCTTATATATGGATATAACCTTTGTTCATTTATTCACTGAGAGCTATTTAGGCTTATTCAATAATTTGGTTCATCAGAATAGTACTCTGGTATACATGGGTGTACAGAAAACTTCTAGTATGTTGCCTTTATATTCTATCAAGTATATACCCAGGAGTATCTCTAGACCAAGTCTCTTTTTATACTACATCCTTAGTAACGTTTTTTATTGTTGTCTGTGTTTCTCGATGACAGCCATTTGTATTGGGGTAAATCAAATGGAGTATTTCTCTAAAATATTGAATGTATTTATTTTCATGCATTTAATCCCTATTTACAGTCCTTATATAACAAGTATATTTTGGTTATTTTTCTCATTTATTTGTTTGATTATTTTCTCTTTGGTTTTTACTGTTTTGGCATCATTATATATCCTGGATAGTAATTATCAGCAGGATGAATTGCTCTCCAGGGTTTTTTTCTATTCTCTAGGCCAGCTTTTCGTCACTGTGGTCATTGTTTCCTTTGCCATATGTAGATTTCTAGTGTTTTGCAGTCAGTTTTGCTATTAAATTTGGGTCAATGAAAGTTCCATTTAGAAAGTTATTGCCTTTCTAGAAAGGTTCTTCATGTTTCCCTCTAGCAGTTTTAAAGTTCTGCATCTTACTTTAAGGTCTTTGTAAAGAACTTACACTATTTCCTTTTTAAAGAGTCAATTTTGGGCTCAAATGGCAATTCTTTGTGATACTATGCCTACATATGGTTCTACTATGTATCCTTCTGTGATATTCTCATCACTAAGCAGACTCTGGGAAGCTTACTTATTGTCTTACCCAGAGTCCTAGATTTATTGTCTGTTATATACAAGGTGACAAATGAAGGATGAAAACATGAAAAAATAAAACTTCCCTTTATCCTTGTCTGACACCTCTTTTATATATCATTCTGGGGAAAATAATAATCTAATTAGTTATGGATAATTATGTTGAATATATAATCATTTGACTGGAAGGCACTTAATGAAATTCTAATGATTAACAATTTATATTACTACCTTACTACATCACACATTTAGGTAGGAAACTAATGATTTTCTTAATTTCACCTTTATGTTTCTACTATCATTTTCTTTTAATATCTTAGTAGTTGAGATCATTGCCTCTAGTGAATCAAAGCCTAAGGGTAGAGTCTTAAGTTCCTGCTTGAGCCATACTTAACCACTCTCTATCTGATAAGCTTTCACTCTGGAATGGTTATAAAATAAGACTGTAAAGACTTTCAGTTTGTGCATGTAGCTATTTAAACAGACTTATGAATTATTCTGGAGGGAAGACATACATGTGCTAAGCAGCATTGGAAGAACTCTGAAAGCTCCTCCTTAGTGTTCCTTGTTGATTCTCTGTCCACCACTAATGGGAAGCTTTTTCTGACATTTGAGTGACTTCCCAGCCCAAGTGGCACCTATTCTTCGGTTTTGTTAGGTTGGTTTTGTTTTGTTTTGTTTTGTTTTTTAAAGAATCTTCTTCAGTTTTTATATCTGGTTTGGCTAAAATTGGGGCACAACTCAGACTAGAGCAACCCTTGGCAAACTATAGAAATCAAGACTAATGAAGGTCCTATGGCTGTTCTTATATCACAGGACAGGAGTTAAAGGGTAAAAGTATTGACTTTGAAGAACCTGAAACTACAGCTTATGGCTGGCATGACGACCATACTGACAGAGTTTTCCAGTCAGAGTTTCGCGTGAGGACTGGACCTTAAAAGTGAATTTTAGTGTTTTTCATTTATTTTCTGAGTCAAAAGACTGTATACTAATGTATTTTAGAACAAGGTAACAAAGTGATGATAGACAGTAGCATTCAAAGAGAACTTGAAGTAAGGCATTTATGAGAAAAATGGTATCTGTGGTGGGGAGGAATTATCAGAAGTGAGTGAAGGGTAATGTATACATTTAGCAGCCTTTCAGATGCTAGCATCTGCTAAATGCTTTGTGTATTGCTATTATACAGGATAGAGGATGCCATGGTCATATGTAGATGAATAGTTCATTTTAAGAGAGAGTAGTTCAACCATAGTGTGATACTTGAGAAAAATGAATTCTTAACATTTTCAGCACCTATTTCATTCTGTTTAGCTTATATGTTGGCCATGTATCTTGTTCTAACTCATATAATTAAATACCTGAAGTATCCTAGAAAATATATGCCATGTGTTTCTCATTATCCCTGAGGAAAACTGGGTTTGCTAGTAAACAAATATTTAAAGAAAAATGTTAATGTGGATGCATCTTTACTACTGAGCATGGGGAGACTTTGAAATGGTGGGGTTCTGTCTACTTGGATAATTTCCTTCACTGAGTTGTTTTTGATATATTTCAGACACAACAATTTTTTATCATTACTTTCATTTTAGTGTTATCAGTGACCACGCATTCCAAGTGGCACAATGGAAACATTTTTATTTTTCTGGTAGCATAAAATACATGTGATGAAAAGCTTGTCTTACGAAGATGTGGCTTTTATGAAAAAGGAAAGAAAAGCTAATTGAAAGTCAAAGTAGATTCTGAATGATGACCTCTGTGAAAAATAAGTCATTAAAAATCTCTGAAGGATATGAAAAGGCAATCATTTGCAAAATTGGAGAAAACTAAATTCTAATAGACATCTTCTTTGCTTTAATATGTAGATTCAGAGAAATAAACTGTAAATGGTGGGATTTTTAACATAATATCATTTACTAAAGGAAGGATTAAGTAAATGCTTCTGGGCTTTGATCAGGCTTGTTACCTTTCCTTTGGACACACATGTGTGTACATTTGTGTGTGTGTGTGTGTGTGTGTGTACATATGTAGATGGATAGATAGACAGATAAATAGATAGATAGATATGATTGATGATAGATAGATATTGATAGATGATTGATGATAGATGATAGATAGATAGATAGATACATAGATACATAGATACATAGATACATAGATGAAAGATAGATAGGTAGATAGATATAGGTAGATGGATGATAGATGATACAGAGACAGATGATTCAAGATAAATGGATAGATACACTGAGATAGATAGACTGATGATAGATACATACATACATACATACATACATACATACATACATACATATTTAGATTCAGATAATGGTAGATATTTTGATGATAAATAATAGATTGATTGATGGGAGAGACAGAGACACAGAGACAGAGACAAAGGGAGTAAAGGATTGATTTATTTCAGGTCATTGTCTCTTATATGCATTACATGTAATATATTTTTTGTTTCTTGCCTTGTAATCATTTATACATACAAAGAGCTATTTTGGTCTTTTTTATTTTACTAGTTTTATATTCATAAGTGTTAAACAAAATATATATATGCTCTTATATATTAATAATCATTATTTTAGGCTTTCTTTAAGAACACTAAGACTTTTGAATTCTCTACCCAAACCTCTCCAATTTACCCTGTATCAAATCAAAGTAATTCTACAATAACCGCTGTTCATTCTTTTAAAATGGAAATGATACGCTATGTCTGGATAGCTCCCTGCAATAAACAAACAGGATGATGTCCTCAGCTCTCCATCTATAACTCCATGACTTCTTCGTCCATCAATCACATTTTATGTTAGGATGTGTAAAAATAATGAACAAAGCAGTAATGGTGCAAAAAGCCCTGTCATTGATTTCCATTCACTCAGTCTCATCATTTGTCACGTTCTACTGTTTTCTAATAAACTGGTAAAAATGACAAACTATCCCCTATAGCTTACACATTAAATGATAGAAATATATTGGTATATGATGAAATAACAGTGATAAGGGCTGAGAGAAAATAAGTTGATTTAGAATTTAAATTTACAGAAAATTTTCATAAATCAGAAAGAAGTCAATAGATCATAACTTAATGTAATTCTTTTCACATGGTTGAGATACTCAATTGCCAAAACATATTCTTTAGTACCATCCACCACCTAGGTTTTAAGGTCAACTGCAATACCAATTGGGAAAAAGAGAAACATCATTTAGCTTTAATTGAAAAGCTCTCTATTTTACATTTACCATTCTGCACATTATTGATTTTTTTTCTCTTCTGATATTGTTCCTTGCAGAGAGTGAATCTGTCCTTCGATTTTCCATTTTATGGTCATTTTCTAAATGAAGTCACTGTGGCAACTGGGGGTAAGTCATTTTCTATGTAGTTACCTAAAAATAACTACAATTTCTGTACAGTTTTTATTACTGATTTTATAACTTTTTGAGATAAATTAAATTTATTGGGAAAGTGATTGTTTTACAATACAAATGCATGCATGGGGTTGCATGCATTTGTAATAAAACCCATTGCAGCAGAGATATATTTAGAATAGATTTCAGCAGAAATAATAAGGTATAAGTAAAAATTTCAGGTTAAAATACATTTCTTGATTTTTTTCCAAGTTTTAACTTACTTCTTGGTGATATGGTAAGACTATGTGAAACAGACAAGCGTGAAATAGTTATAGCATTAGAAAGTACAAAAGAAAGTTGGTGGCTTCTTTAAATTTTTCTTTTATCATATTTAGTTACTATGCAGGGATATACATGCTACAGCACCTAAATCTGGGCTCAACTTTAGTTTCTCAGTTATCTTCTCCGTGTTCAGCCCCCTAAATCTGCCCTCAGCTTAATTATGTTTGTAATATCCTGCCTGCTAACTCAGGTTCAGTCTGGGAAGCAGCCAACAGCCACATAGCTGTTGGCTCTTTTTCTCTACAAGCTTGGTGAAATTCTTCTTCTCTTCATAGTCTGCTGGTCTGACTGCAGGAAAACTGGAAGTCCTGCCTTTCCCTCCCCCTCCCCCCCAGCTCATTAGTTGCTAGAATCTTTAATGAACCATCAAGAACCAATTGGGAAACAGGATGTTCAGGGTTTGCACACAGATTTCCTATCAAAACATCAGATCAACCTGCTACAGATCTTCGGTGATTTCTATGAACTTTAAAAAAAAATTTAAAAACATCTTTTGCCTACTTAAACTATTATAGTAATGATAATATATAAATCTCTGCACCTTGTTTAAATTGAACTTAGGCCTCAGAGGCCCCACCATGATAATTTTGTTGTGACCCATATCACACAGAAAACAGACTCTCCTTAAAAGTTTTCAAATAAAAGCACCTACCTTGAAATCACTTCCACTACTTGTTCATTCAATCAGTTCTGACCTAGACCCTGTAAGAGGCACTGGAGAGAAACATCCACATTGTTCCATGCAGGATAGACTTTGGTTTCTGGCTGAGATTATTATGTCATCTAAGGCAAAGAAAGAGACATATGAATAAACAGTAACAGCAGACTAATCAGAGAAAAGTTATTAAAGGAAGGAGTTAATTTATGTTGTGCCATGCATGAACAAATTTGAGAAAGAATGAACATTTGGCACTAACTAATAAGCAGGTTGAATTTTATTAGGCAAAGAAGTAAGAGGCTAAAAAAATGAAGAGAGAAGGATAGCCCAGAAAGGAGAACTGAGCTAAATCATCATCTGAGGCCTGTGTTGAATATGCTTAAAAAGAGTGGTCTGGGTACTTTGAACACTGGGAGCTACAGTGTGTACTTCCCAGCCTGGGGTTCTTCAAGGATCTAGTCTTATCTGACAGTGGAGTCTGTAGTGATAGTAGAGAAACTAGATAGTATAGTTTTCCCTCTTTAAATTTAAATATATATGATAAAATTGTGCTATTTTATTATAAATCAATAAAATAATTTTATATTGATATATTAGCAATAATATAATAATTATAATAATCTTGAGTTTGTCTTAGATCTCAGTTTTAAATTGTGTATGGGAGGGTGCATGGATGTACACATACACGCATGTACGCTTTCCACGGGTCTTGCTGTGGTGGGGGGATGGAGAACAAATTAAAGAGTTAGATTGTCTTTTCAATGTTAGTCTCCAGGTCTTAATTCTGATCATCAGACATGACAACAGCATATTTACTTATTAAGCTATCTTGCTAGCTCAAGATGACAGTTTCAATTTTTTTTTGTAGATATAATTCCTGATCTGAGATTGGTGCAATAGAAAAGGGAAAGGCCAGTGTAAGACCTAACAATCATTGTGGTTGGAAAAGCTACCAGCCAAAAAGCTCCATGAAAATGAAGGGGAAACAAACTATGAGTTTGGAGATCTGAATCACAGACTGTGGTAGATCTTTGTGAATGATGAGATGTTATAAACCAAATACCTAGTATCCTCACACACCTTAAATAGGCCATTCTTCACAGTGGGTCGAAAGAGAATAGAAAGTGCAAGTCAAATTTAAAGTGTTAATTTGAAGCCATTTACTACTAGACAAGGGCCAGGAATTTTTAAATAGGGACATCAAAGTCCATTGTATTGACCGTCAATTATCCTTGATTATGTCTCTGAGTTCTGCCGGATCCGGTTTCTTTTTTTATATCCAATGTAGGAAAAAAACAAGTAGAATGTTTTCATAGTGAATACAAGCTGTGCAAACAAACAAAGCAAATGCTTTGAACTACACTCCCTATCTCATTAACTCACGTTTGCTTTTTCCCATGCCTTCCTAACCACTCTCTACATAGGAAGACACACACACATACACACGCACACACACAGACACATGCATACACAATTTAAGACTAAGTTCTAAGATTAATTCCAAGATGGTTCCCCATATTACTGTTAAGAGCAATTCAACTCAGAAACTGATTTTAAAATACAGATAAATATATCATTCATTATGGCAAACCTTTGCTATGGCCGTGTCTATATGTATGTGTCATTATGAATAAGCTTCATTTCTACTTTAAAGTTTAAATTTAAGCTAAATACCAGGCCTATCATTATAACTCTAAAATACAGTCTTCAGTTATTAAACATTTTAATATTCAACAGCTTCAATCAGCCATACAAATAATGCAGGAAGTGAATTTAAAATACCATCTTATTTTCTGGTTCACTGACAGCAATATCTGAAAGCTTTTATTCATCTTCCTATTTAAAATATAATTTAGTATGCAAGTATTTCAACTATCTCCAAGTTAATCCTCTGTATAGTTCATCAAGAAAGTGGTTTTTTTTTTAATGGTTCAGCTAAGTCCTGTTACTTGCATCTCACAGCTTATCTTTTTCATATATCTATCTTTATTTGCTATTGGGCTACTAATTTGATATTTTACATGTTTGATGTTTATATTACTAGTTTCTGTAACCATTAATAGCAAGGGAAGAGCATTTTAATCAAAGTTTACCATGAGTATATGTGATTATGAAGAATGTGGGATTACCACATGAATGACAGAGTGAAGAAGAAGTGTCAGAATTCGGACACAAAACTAAGTGAACATGTGTCAATGTATATGGAATTGTGAGCATGAATTTAGTTGTCAAAGAAAGATTAAAGTATATAAAAAAAGCTAATGGGAATACTTATTATCTTCTTTGAATGTAGTGAACTATTTGCTCTGTTCTGTTTCTACCTACAATTCTAACTACATATTTTATTTTGAAAACTGATTAAAAATTATACATGCACTTCATTCAGTTGCTATATATTGATTACTAACCATAAAATTACTGTTATATAATGATTTTTACTATCTGAAAATTAATATGTAAACATTAAAATTAGGCAAACTAGAAAATGCAAATCCCCTTCTCTTTTTTCATAGACTATGCATGCTCACATCAATCAAACCACAATCTTACTTTTTAAGTTATAGAATATTAAATTCAAATGATTATTCTTCTGTGCAAGTCTAATAATCATTTATGTGTGCTTTAGGCTCCCCATATGCTATATTAAAAAGCTTAAGTATTATCTATTGTCTTCATTGGGTTTTCAGGAAGTATATTACTAATGTTAAGTTTTCTATCGTTCTTTCTTCTTGTCTTCAAATACTAATATTTTAATTGTAGTTCCAAATAATATTTCATGGCTTTCCAGGACACTTGATGAATAGCAGGACTAAACGGCTTTCAGGGAAGAGAGGGGATTAGTTATTTTCATGATGATTTATAAGCGCTGACCCATCTTGCTTCAAAGATAAAACCTAAAATAAAAACAGATCCTGAAGAAGAGTGGCATTATTAGGACTTTTTAAATGACTTTTAATAGAGAGCAGAGATCACAAGCATCCAGTAATCTGTGCCATAACAGAATACAGTAAAGACACAAATGTTGAGCAGAAACAAATTTATTCCATTCAGGATGGCAATTTAAAGTAACAGGCTCAAGATTCAAAGATGTTCAGAAAGAAAGACAAATGGGGCTCTGTCCTAGGTTCTCTGAGTGATTCTCTGAGATATACCTGCAAACATCCAAATTCTCATTTTCACAGTCCTCTTGGGTAATTTACTCTTCCCCTAAGCCATCTAGTGTCAGCAGCAACATCAGCAGATTCAGCATTACCAGGTTTCTTTTCTCTACAGTGGTATGAATCACTTATTCCCAAGTATCTTTGTTTCTGCTCTGGACACACGTGTTTCGTTAGCTCTGTCTTTCTGAAGAGGGGTATAGTACTAGGCTTAGAGCAGTAAAAGATCTTGGAGAGTGATACTCCCTGGAGCTAGACCCAAGTCAGTAGTATAACAAGCAATAAAACTGCTGAAGGCAGAGATATAGGTAGAATGAACATGGGTAATTCCACACAATGAAAACAGACAGGAATTATGAGCCCATGGTGGACAGATCATGAATGGGAGACAGGCTGAGGGGTGATCACCTGAAGTATGTCCTTGGATAGAAAGCAGAGTACCCATGATCAGTTTCATCCATTACCGAAGCAACCTCAGAAGAGACTGCCTGTCTCCAGACTTTAGGTACACTTAGGAACCTTCATCCCCGGAATGCATCTCTTTGCTTTTTTGACCTGTGCTTTTTGAGAACACTGGCAGCCATATCTTTTTATATTCTCTATTTGTAAGGCAGCAATAAGTCAATTAAATAATGCTATCACACAAATGCATTCATACATCAGTGAGTTAAAAAGAGAGTCAAAATTAGTCTGTTTAATCAGTAAGGTGACAGTGTACTGTGCATGACACTGTTCAATGCTGGAAACTAAAGGACTTTTTTTTTTACCAGTACAAGATTGACAGATCCTGACCATTTCCATAGTGAATTAGAACAAATAAATGCAAAACCTATCACAGCCTGAAAAATAAACCT